CTCCCAGATTTCATACCTACCCTATTTCAAGATTTCAGACCACAATGTCCTGTTCAGAGAAGCTCTCAGCCCTGAAACATCATTGGGAAAGATATCCTTATCCTCTAAGGAGAAAAAGTCATTATCAAGCTGTATGAAAATGGAGGCAGGAGTAGGATGACTCGTATATCTCTTGATGTAGCATTCATCAGTGTAACATCATACTCCCAGATGGATGCCCAGATTACCTTACCCAGGGGCGTGCCATTAGGACTTCCCAGGCCTGCTAAACTGGGGCTGCTGCTGCAGAGTGCTGTGATGGAAGCTGTGGTCTAGACAAGGCACCTGTAGCTGCCAGCATTTTTTGTTCTGTCACCCAACCTGTGCAGAGAAAACTTCTCACAAACTGTGCTGCGATGGAGGTTCCAGAGCAAGGAGTTACATTTTTTTTTAATAGCCCCCCTGTCCCCTGCCCTTGAGCTACGTTGAAGCTCAAGCAGTGTCAAAACACTACCCAGAGATGTCTGTGTATTCACTGCTTCACTGAACAGAGGTCAGGATTTCTCCCCTGCCTGTACAAATCATAGAATCATTCAATGTCCTCAGTTGGTTTCTACTTCCAATTACTCTGACATGGGCAGGAACACACCTTCCACTAAAACAGGTTGCTCAAAGTCCCATCCAATTCCTCCTTGAACACTTCCAGGAAGGGAGCATCTACCACTTCTTTGGGCCACCTGTTCCAGTGCCTCACCACCCTCAGAGTATAAGATTTCTTCCTAATACCTAATTTAAATCTATCTCCTTTCACTTTAAAGCCATTTCTCCTTTTCATATGACTATATACCCTTGCAAAAAATCTCTCTTCAGCTCTCTTGCTGTTGGTCTCCTTTAGGAACTCGAAGGTGCTATAAGGTCTCTCCAGAGCATTCTCTTCTCCAGTTGAACTCCAACTCTAATGCAGAAACTTTTTGATTTTGTCATTTATCTAAATACAATTTTCCAATCATTCTGCTGTAAGCACTGGAGGCACTAAAGATGGAGGCCCAGAACAACATTCAAATTCTAGACAGCAAATTGATTTTACAGAAGGTTAAACTACTGTGGGCAAAGCAGCAATAAAGTGGACAGACAAGCCCTGCCTCTGGGAGAATTTGCTGTTTCTTGCCATTTCTACCTCTGTCTCAGCTCAGCAGTGGGAGGCAGGGGCAAATTAGAACTACTCCTGCTCTTATCTCCCGCACCTTTTGCCTGCTGCTCCACAAAAACTCCTTCAGCTGGTGACAAAAGAGGTCAGAAATATGTATGCAGTGTGATGGAGGAGCAGAGCAGCACTTGGAGCAGGTAGTGGCTCCACAGAGCAGACACACAGAAGCACCAAGCTTCTCTCTGCACAGCAGGACCCTCCCCGGCACCACAGCCCCAGCAGCTGCACCCACTGCCTCCTCTTCTCTGTCCTGCCAGGGCACTGGCCCCACCATGATCAGCCTCTCTGTTCTGAGGTCAGGTCACATCATACCTGCATTTTTCACTGCAGCCCTCAGCCACCACCATGCTGAAACACTGAGTTTCAGGCAGGGAAGCTCCCTGTGTCTCTGGATGCATTTCCAGGGACAGCTGTTCCTTCAGGCAAAGCCAGGTACTCTGCTCCTGCCCATTGCAGCAGTACTCTGCTGTGGGGAAAGGCACTAATAAAATAATTCTGCTGTATCATTAGAGGTCAACTTGGACTACAGCAAGTAATAAAAGATTCATAACGGCACATGAGGGGATGCGCTAAATAGCCAAACCACAGCTTGAAAACATGCAAAGCTTGTTTAGATTTAGGACTTGGTTAAAAACTTGCAGTTCAGCTAGTGTTTCACAGAAAAGTTTTCAATCAGCGATATCACTTCTGTACCAGCAATTTATGCTGCTTCTAGTATAAATTATGCCTTGTAGCAAGGAGTGTCCTAATAGGCATAGGTGCTCCCATGTTCAGGCCAGTAATCAAAAAGTAATCCCCTTCCCTGATTCTGTTAGGGGCCAATGCCAGCTATTACTGAGAAGACATAAGAAATACTGCTGGAAGCACTTTCAAGATAACACTTTCCCAGTGTTGTGACTTTCCATCTTTTGGTATTTAACAACTGGCTAAATCTTCATTTTAGTCACTTCCCAATCCTGTAAGGCAGGCAGTGGGACCTGCAGTGTTTTTAAATATTCCTTTCAAACTTTGGTTAATCCTATCTTTTGCCTACATTATCAAATCTGCTTTAGGAACCCTGCTAAAGTCCAGTCTCAAGGTGCTGTGACAGTGAGTTGCCCAGTCCATTTACATGTGAACAATCATTACTCACTACTAAAAGAGCTGTCAGAAATTTAATATAGGTATTGGCACAGTATTTTCAGTTTGGTTACAAAAGCACTGTCCCTTCTCCCTTTAACTCCAGCTTATGACTCTAAAAAGAAAGAAAACAACACAGATAAATCTCTAGCTGCTGAATTCCATCTACTTTTCTATCTTTTCAACAGCCTTTGCAAAGAACTTAAATCAGATCCCTTTTTTCTCATAAGCTTAAAATTTGTCTGTAAAGTTTGGCCACATCCTCAGACTAGACTTGAATTTTGGCTGTCATTTTTACCAGTAAGACACATCTAATCTCAGATTTGGTGACACTGCACTCAAACCAGCTGCTCCAGCTTTGATGCAGAAGAGGCCAATACCATTAAGCAGGAAGAAGTTAATGATGTTTGATGTATCAGATGACTCGGTCCTGCCTTTAATCTTTGTGGCCAGCCAGTCCCATCAGGCACATAATGGTCTCAGGAGGGAGGCCAAAGACTCTGCACAGAGAGAAAACTTCCAACAAGGTGAGGTTTAGGGCATGTGATGGGAGCAGCACAAGGCACAGAGCAGGTGTGTTTGGCACGCTCAGCTCTGCTGTCCAAGTACGCCACTGCCAGTGGCATTGCTGTGACATCAAGAGCTACACTCTCCGCATGTGGAAAGAAGGAATCCTCTCCCAGTTCAAGTCTAAAGCAAGACAACACTCCTCCAGCACTCCCAAACCACTCCCTCGCAGCACCTGCAAACAGCCGACCCAGCCTGGCCCAGAGACAGACAGAGCCACTGCACTTGGAGCACCACAAGGCAGAGGAGCCCCACAGCTGTCACAGGCAGCAGGGCTGGTCCATCCCCGTGTGCCACTGCAGGGACTTGGCTCCGTGTGTACAGCCTCCTGCACTTTGCTGTACAGCCCACCATCTGTCTAGTAATTAGGAAAACAACTCTTTTCTTCCAACTGCAGTGAAAACCCACCCCTCTTCTTTACAAAAGGCCCTATGGAGCCTCGATGCCTGACATCCTTCCAGTTCAAGTGGGAAGAAAAAAATTACTGATTTCCATCTTCTATCCCTCTGTACCACCTCAGGGACCAGGAGGCTGCAAACAAAGAAAGAACTGCTTTTGGGATTTGAAAATCCCTGAAGCTGGTTTTTCCCACCCCTTTGATCATTCCTGGCTTTCCCACACAAAGAATTTTTCCATGCATGTGGTACCTGCACTAACATGGCCACAGAGATTCCAGAGAATGATGGAAAGGCTGAAACACCACTGCCCACACAGGGAAACAAAAACTGGGAGGAACTAGGAGGCTTTTTTTTTTTTTTTAGTTTGATAAGTTACCTGGCTTAGGGGAAAGAAGATAACTGTCCTTCCTAATGGCTCCTGCCAGTTATTTCCACAACCTACCAAATTCCATAGCTCAAATAGAGAACAAATTTCTTACTCTTCCAGAAATCCCCTGCATCATTTCATCTGGTTACCTACTGGCATTGCAAAACGCCAAATTTTGTCAACAAAATACTACGGCACTGTTGCCTCCATAAATACATTTAACACCTCTTAACATGCAAAACACGCAAACAAACGATAAACGCAGCTTCTGAGCGTTCACAATGCAGCCAGTGTCCCATTGCCCAGCGCTGGCAGCTGCAGTCGGTGAAATTCAGTAACCAGGTAGTTGCCAAGAGTAAGCACGATTCCTGCACGGGACTTGCTAGTCATTAGTTTTAGATACTGCTTTGTAGCTTGGAGAAATCTAAAAGTGCGTGCGCCTCATTTGAGCGACAGAAGTAGAGGGCGTGCAGGAGGGAACGAGAAAGCGCAGCAGAATAAGGAGACGGGGTTTTCGCGTCTTTCAGGAGCCCCGAAGGGCTGGCACGGGGCGGGCGGTCACGGCAGCACCACAACAGGACAAATCGCGCTCCCTCACTGTCTCGGCGGCACTTCGGTGCTGTAGGCAGAGGACGAAGCGGCGCTTCCCCGGCGTACCCAGCACTGCGGAGGGACCCTCCGGCGAGTTGGGCGGGACGCTGCCCCGTCCCTGCAGCCAAGCGCGGCTGCGGCGGGGCGCTGGGGTCAGGCCGCCGGGCTCGGACGGCAGCGGCACGGACAGCACCTCCGCCTGTGCGTTACCAGGCTGAAGCCGAAATAACACGGGAAAATTAACGCTACTCCAGAGAGCGGGGAGCAGCCACAGCCCCGCGGCGGCTGGGCGGCTCCCGCTCGGTCCGGGGCGGCGGGTCCCGTCCGCTTGCCCCCCCCGCGGGGCAGGCGGCGCCGGCGGAGCGCCCGCGGGGCGGCGGGGCGGGGAGCGCGGCGGTGGCGGCGGGGGGGCGGGCGCGGCGGCGGCGCTAGGGCCGCGCGTTGCGCGGGCCCGGAGGTGGGGTAGCTGCCGCCGCCCCGCTCGCCGGCAGTCGCGGCGAGGTCGCTCCGAAGTGAGGAGGCGCTGCCGCCGCCGCCCCCCGAAGTTTGGCCGCGCCGCCGGAGCCCTCCGCGCCGGGGCCCCGGCCGAGGGTGCAGTCCGCTCGCCCCGCGCTCCATGCCGCGGGCGCCGGCGCCCCGAGCGGGGCCGCCCCCGCCCTGAGCGGCGGTGGCGGGCGGGG